ACTGTTAGGAAATGGACAGTAATTATCTATTTAGTTACTTCACATGTAGAAAATGGTCGTTTGTATAGATAAGTATCCAAAAAGCATTATTATAGTAATTGCTTCAAGCCTAAGTAACATCAACTGACTCAGCTTACTCCCTACAAATACATGTCTCTTTGTGTAATAGTAAGGAGGTCAAGACGTTGTATAATAAGAAGATCATCTTGGCTTCTCTATTATCTCGTCTCTCCTCTTTAAAAATATCATTATTTATAGTAGATTTTTATTATTTATATAAAAAAATAAATATAAGTGGACTCCTCCACTTGTTGGTGGAGATTAGATTCTCGTTATTTTTAGATGAAATGTGCAGAATCTTATCCCTTCATCAATTGTATCCCACCCACTTGATTGATGGAATATTAGCCGGAAGTAAAGTAAAAAAACATTTATCCATTTAATTTACTCTATCAAGACCAAACATTCACACCCTACCACTAATAAAGAAGATAAATATCAATAATAGAGAAGATTGTTTCTTGTAAACGCGTATTTCTAACAAGTAGGTTCATTTTGATATTTTTGTCTCAAGATTGATGGATAATTGTAGAGTCTGGAAACAAAACTCCATTCTTCCAGAGGAGTCATCATGAAACACACTCTGTGGACTTCGTCACAAACATGTAACAGTATCGTTGCTTTTTCTTTAAATTTCGTAAGAAATGCACTCGACATGTAACAGTAACGTTGCTTTTTCTTTAAATTTCGTAAGAAATGCACTGGACAACACATAAAAATCTATTGTTATCAAAGAAGGATGGGGGTATCTCTAACGTCCCTGACTCGGATTAGGTCCACGTTGACCCGATTGGCCGTGCAATAATCAAACAAGAACATGCGCAACCAACCGTAGACCCAGAACCAGACTAAAGATGCTACATATGTGCACTTAACCGTTTATTCTGAGGTTCTAGAAACACATTCAAGAACCCTAGTCTAAACGTCCAAGCACACATGTTCCTATCGAACACAACCCAAGGCTTTTCAACCGGAGTTATGAGTGATAGTTGGTTCGTCCTGACTAGGACTAGTATCATATGCAACCCAAGTTTAAACAAACTTCCTTTTTATAC